CCTGCGTGGGGCTTCTCTGATGTCTAACCTTGTTGAGCAGGCGTTGGGAAGGCTCCTTTTCCTCTTTCCTGGCTGTGTGCCCTCCAAGGAGCTTGTACGAGCTGAAAAGTGCCTTTGATGTGTCAAACTGAATGAAATTGGGCAAGATGTTGAAGAGGCATTACGCAGGGACCTGCTGACAGACGGACACCTACGTGGTGGGGTCACGCACACCTTGTTTCACCCCTGGGCTTTTGGAGGAAAGAAGACGAGGAGGCTTTCTGCAAGGACAGGTTTAGCTGTGCTCCTCCTCCTCCTCCTCCTCTTCCTCCTCCTTGCTGGTATCAGCACACACCATCATTGCACACATCGACCATTCATGGCTTGGGGGCAATGTGTTGGATGGGGATAGGGCTGAGCCTACCGAGGGACTGGGGTGCAGAGCGTCTGGGTGGGAGGAAGGCACCTGGTGCCTCATCCTCGCCCGGGGCCCTCCCAGGGCTCTGCCTCGCCCGCGGAGGCGTGTGTGTTATTAAAGTGGCTGCGTGTGTTGGTCCCCGTCGTCCCCACTTTGCTGACTCCATTTGCTCTATTAATTTGTCATTTCCATGTCGTTTCAGCCCAAATTCCTCTGTTCAACCTTTGTTAGACCTCAAAGGCTGGCAAATTTGGGTTATAAATGCTGCTGAGACCCAGCCCAGTTTGGGTTTTGCTTTTTCCCCCCTCACTGGCTCTGTATCTTGACAAAGGACCTGAAAATGGCACAATAATACAAGCAGGAGTAATAAGAACAAGAGGAGGCAACTATTTCTGCTGGAATCTGGGATTACTCGGGATTAGATGGCCAGAGGAGAAAGCCTGGGTTAGTTTCCTGCTGGCTGAGCTTTGGGGGGTTGCAGCAGCCACTGATGGGATAAAAATAAGAAAGACGCCCTGGGAATTTAAAGTAGAGCAAGAAGTAGCACATTTTGTCCTCCTCATCCTCAGTTCCTGGGGCTGCTTCTTGCCGTGGTGGTAGGAGAGTGGTGGGATTAGTGTGATGTCTCTGTACGGGCGTTTCAGGCTGGGCTTCCAAGGATTTCTCTTATCTGACCCACTGTCTGCTTGTGCTCCCTGTAAGAGGGATTACTCTGATGGCCTGAGGGTGATGATGAAGGTGACCTTCTCCTGCTCTGGAGCAATGGGGCTTTTGCTTCCCCTGGTAACCTGACTGAGCTTTGGAACTCGAACCCTGGGAGGCTGTTTGCTTTTGGGCATGTGCCCATGTCCTTTACTGCCATCCCACCGCTTTGGCTTGGAAGCTGGTCCTGAAGTTGTCCCCAACCCTTGGTGGTCACAGTGACCTCGTAACCTGTGAGCCTGTCAACAGGGATAATGCTGTTTAAGTGCTGAGCAGTGTTAATGCTTAATAACAGCATTGCTCTGCTCTGTGCTTCGAAATGACTGGACGGGCTCTGAGGCGTAACAGTGGATGGGAGCGCTTTGGGGCTGGTCTGCAATGGAGGCACCAGCATCCTTAATAATTAACTTGCACTGAAATCCTCATTAAATCATCACATGGGGATAATAATGTGTATCAGGGAAAGCAAAGGGCCAGGTAGAAAGAAGCCCTGTACGAGATCACACGGAAGAAAGCTGGGCTGGGAACCCTGGTTGTCAGGTCTAGCCCTTTGCAGCCAAGTCACCTGCATCGGGGACATTAAGAGGTTGTGTTTCTGCTCATCCAGAGAAATACTTTGAATTCTTATGGGCCAGCAGCTGGTTATGGGTGTTGTCAGGATCCACAGAGCTGTGTCAGGGCAGCGGTGGTTTTCCTCTTGGTCTGTGTTTGCTGTGGAAATGTCTTCTTCACCCAGGGAGTCTCCATTCAAGGTTGCAAGGAGCATAGAATCATGGAATGGTTTGGGTTGGAAAGGACCTCAAGATCATCCGGTTCCAGCCCCC